GTAACGTTCAATTTAGACGCACGGGGCCGGTACCGTATTAGCGGCCAGGTGTAAACTCACGTTTCATTTCGACGAGAAACAAAACAATTATACGATTTATATTTAAATTTTGAACGCATACAATAACGGAAATGCACTTAAGCTGCTGCCGGCGTAACCGGCATTAATTATCCTCGTGAAATCGTTCCCCCTCCCTCCTGAGTATTTACCTCCCGGTAAAATATTCGGGGGTAAAATTTCACTAGAGATAGTTTACCGGGGGGGGGGGGAAGGGGAAATGTCACGATGGTTTGTTTTCGATAACTGTTAAATGTATTTATTAACCTCTCAAAATTAAACCCTACTATAATTGTTTTTAGAACTTTTTGACACCTTGACGGAACTTGTGGGCTGTATATACATATATATAATGTAAAAAAAAAAAAAAAAAGTTAAATCAAATAAATGATGTAAATAAGTATATAATTATATTATTATAACAGTTAACGGTCAAATTATTCTTAACTGATTGTGTATGAATACATAAATCAAAACAATCATTACATTTATGTGGAGAAATAATGCCTATTGCAATTATTTTACCGTAATATGATATATATATATATATATATTGTCGACGAACCGACACTATCTCTGAACTCCAATCAGAATCGTTTTTTCGTTACATGTATCAGTAAAACTATGCAGAATGAAATTACACGTCCATCTGTAGTGAATCAACAATCGGTAATATTATAAACAAAGTAAAGCCGTCGCCGTATCAAAGTAATACAATATATTAAACGAAATAACAAATAATGAAAATTATTTAAAAATAATAATAAATTTAGTTTTACCGGGGTGAGGGGGGGGGGGTAAATTTACTCAAGTGAAATTTGACTCCCGGTAAATATTCCCTTGTGAAATTTCATCCGGTAACTAATCGCGGGCACACCGGTGTTCAGTGCAACAATCGTTACGTTGTACCCGGTATTTTTAATAGTGAATCGAAAAACTACCCGTTTTCGATTTTCAAATGGCAACGTGTCTTCGAAATTCCATAAACAGACGCCGAGCATCGGTTTGAATACATTCCCGTCTCGTCCTGTCCAATAACTCACGAGTGGAATATCTCGCCGGACGCAGCCATTTGAAAATCAAAAGTATCAATCAAATCAATAGTAAGACGGTCGTTTCACCCGCGAAAATTAGGGCGACGAACCGTAATAATATCGACGTGACATTTTAGAACACGCTCTTTGTTTCTTGAATTGTCAAAAAAAAAAAAAGAGAGAGAAGCTCAATTCTTTTCGAAATGTCGCGTGTAAATGGATCGCTCGAGTACACATAGACGGGCATTTGTTAAATTAAAAGAATTAAAAAAAGACCGATACCGACGTTACCGATTGTCGTCGTCGTCGTCGGCGGCGGCGGCGGTTTTTCATATCGCAAAATATTTTCATTTCGGAAATAATAATGTACGGCTATTATAATAACGTTCGCCTGAACAATATATTATCTTGATCGATGACGAACGTTGACGAAAATAAAGGTAGAATATGAACTGCATTATTATTATTATTATTTTTTTTTTTTCAGACGCGCAATGTTTTACCGAACGTGTTACGGTATAATATTTCGCATACAACTCTGTGGGTTTCCACGTGTCGACTTCCGATTTCGGAGATTTCGATCACAGTTGTTAAAGTCGCCGAGATTTCGCGGCCTGCGTCTGTATGCAAAATATCTTTTTTACATTCTGCAGATTTTTAAAAATATTGCAATATCGCTCGTACAACTTAGACGACAAAACGATTTCCGTGGACGAGCAACGCGACGCGTTAACCGCCGTGTGTCGCGTAGCACGCAAGGACCGATCCGAAACCAGAAACGTGGGGGGGGGGGGGTGGTGGATGGGTGTTTGAAAATCCGTATAAGGTACGTATGCATGAAGTGGTTAATGATGAATCAAGCTAAGAATATAACGGTGAGTGAACGAGGAGGAGGGGGTGATCGCCTGTATCGTCCTCTCCCCTGGATCCGCAGCCGGATGCACACACGCAGGCGTTATAGGTATGAATCGGTGATATTACTTCGGTAACGTATAAAGAACGGTAATAAAAATCACTTTACCATTTTACGAGTAATTTGTTTTATTCGAATGACCGACGGTAACAATTACGTTACTGTCCCGCTGATTCTCGGCGTGTAAATAAATCGCTACCCGCACAAATATAATTCGCGTTGAATAATATTGAAATGAAGGGGAAAAAAAATTACAAAACTTAGATGTATACGCGTATGCTCAAAACGGGGCAATCTCCTTTTTAACATTAACATCGTTAGACCGTTATGATCGATCTCATCAAGATTTCATGCCGAATCCAAATGTGTTTACGTAATATTCACGTCGCTTCGTATTGGGCCGATTGCCGAAAGAAAGACAGTCTAATCGCGTAAATTGCGTGAATTATAAACAGTAACAATTATAATATCGTCTCTTGCGCGTGCATACGAGAAACGTTAACATTCGGGCAAATATCTTAAACAAACAAGTTTTTAATTGAATTTTAGAGTAAAGCCAAGGAATGTATATTGGTTTTGTAATGATGTTTGTTTTTTTTTTTTTTTTTTTTTTTTTTTTGTACAGTGTTCGAAATTTCTCCTAAAAAACGTGTTTCAATCAAAAATTAACAAGATTTTGTTGAATTTTGGATGTAGATGGTACTTTAGGAGGTCATTTTTTTTTTGATTTTTCACTGATTTTACCCGATAATTGGGAACAGCCATGAAAAAACGTAAGGCAAACGGGAAAATTCAAGGCAATAATTGTTGTTTCATTACTTTCAATGTATATTATTTACTGTAATCATGGAGATCTTTCTAAGTGTAAACTAATTTTTTTCTTCGTTTTTCTTTGATAATGTAGTAGATAATATGTAGATAAAATTGTTTGACCAATGCAGAAAATGTTTGAAAATTGAACACACGTTTCATTAATAAGTTGTACTAGTTGTAACTTGCAGATTTTTTCATAATCGTTTTAATTGTCGAATTTTTACGAAAGTCGTAAATATTACGGCATCTGAAATCATTTATAAATGAACTTCGACCAAAATCGTATTTTGTTTGCAATGATTTACCGTTACTTACAGGTACAAATAAAATTTTATCAGCTTCTCAACTTTCCACCTCCAACAGTAACGCACTCGTCAGCAGTATTTTTTAAATTCTGCGTGGATCGAAGAGCCTATGGTTTTACAATTATGTTTATTATTGTTTTTTTTTTTTTTTTTTTTTTTTTTATCTGTGAACAACTTTTCTGTTAACAATTTTACTCCGATTTACATTTATAACACTATTTCAAAAAGAAGATTTGACTGGGGCACTTAAGGTGGTATACTTATGGGAGGTCATTTTTTGATTTTCTCAAGAGTTTTCACAATATATAAGAAAAACCAGAAAAAAAACGAAGGAAAAACAAGAGAATGGGAACGTTACGTAGGTACAATATTAAACAAATGTTATTAAAGTAAATATCTAATTCACATATAGTTATTTTATCGTAATACGACATATGTATCCGTTCACAAAGCAACGCTGTCAACTGAACTCCGTACAGAATCGTTTTTCCACTAGCAATGGCTTATCGTTGCTTACAGATATAGTTCTCGTTTGTATCTTACCTTCCCAACTTTCCACCTACAACAGTGGCTGCACCCACGTGCAAAATATTTCAGTGTTTTTTCGAATTTATGTTTTTATTTAATTTTGTTGACAACGATCATTTGGCCACACGACTACACTATTATTGATATTCCTCGGCTTACCAGTCCATCCCCCGGGTACTGGCGAGTTGCAGTTCGTAGATCACGAAGATCATTCAATCGGCACTACGCGTTTCAATAGTTCAAGTTTTGTGTTCTAAAAATAAATTTTACCGCGGGAGAACGGTCACGACATCTTGTGACGCGGCGATATCGTTCTTCGGACGTCATGGTCCGGGTTATTATTTTCATTGGCGGTGGGTGGGCGAAGGGATCCAACCTCTAGATCGATGAGAAAATCGATAGCGGTGTATATGAATATAATTTGCCCTAATATCCTGTCTCTTCCCAACTTCTCATCAATAACAGTGGTCCTCCCATCGTGCGAGTATGTCCGTCTGTTTTTCTTATCAATCAATCATTAACGTTAAATGTAATTATTTCGTCCCCTCCCTTCCCATAGTCGAGGTCTGGAGACGCCCCCGGGCGTTGTGTGTTGAGTGAACAAAAATGTCTCCTGGTTGATATACAATAAGAATTGTATACGCACAATACGGTATGATAAAAACTAATCGTGTAAAAAATAGTTATCCGCGCCACTGGACTTGTGGAAATATCATTTACAATATTTTCAACAAGTATGCAGCGGTGCGACGACACTCGGGGGCCCTAGAGTTAAAGACGAATTCAAGTCCATTTCCAAAGTAATAAACATTCCCGAATGGTCCTAAGTACCGCCAAGGGCGTCCATAGGACAATTTTCGGATGGGCGACAAAATGGAACTGGGTTTCAACACGATGTTAACACATTATACATTTGAGTGGACAATTATTAGTAAGAGATAATTACACAATTGTAATATTTTATGAAGAAATGCCATCATAGAATTACACTATCGCATGCAGACAAAGACGTTTTTGGGTGTTCGCACTTCGGAGGAAATAATTATTGCTTAAATTTACTCATTTCACTAAAAGTATTACCCATAGAAAATATTGTAATAGACGATAAATAAATTAACACTGTAGACTAAACACAATGCGTCACTAGTCATTGGCCAATGCACTTTTAAATGCCTATTGCCTAATTTCATAATTTCATTCACCTAGCTACCCATAAAAGTATAAAATGTAAAAATCACATAGAGCTTACGGATAATAGAAAAATTAAATTGTCAATGCTAGGCACGTATATTTTTTTTTTTTATAGCTGCCATAGCGCACATAATACACGGTACACAACGTGGGTACCGCCCCACTTTATTCTCTCCGTGAATTTCTTCTCGACTTGTACGCAGATATTGACAATAACAATAAAGTATTGTAAAATTTGACATAATATAATAAACTGCTTCGTATTGATATAGTCATCCGGGCGAATTTTGGGAGAGGAGGGGCCGATACCACACTCTATCAATGTTTTTTGATAATGTGTACTTACGATACAGGTACGAACAACACTCAAAAATTCAAACAATGTACGGTATAGAGGTTCAATACAATCAGAATTGAACGTACACGTAAACGCTTTTGAAATAGTTTTAGATTATTTGAAACTTATTCCGATATTTTCCTGCCGATTGGCCAAAGAATTACCATAATTGTTTCTTATTATTCGATAAATGTCGCGAGTTGCCGTTATCGTAATATTATCGCGGCGCGACGTTTCGTTACGTCTGACGCCATCTGTACAACAACTGATTGACATACGTACGTCGTCCGGTACTACATCAGCGCCATCTAACCGCTCAATTCTCACGACTGCTGCGGCCAGGCCGACTTTAACCGACACGCGGCGCTGTACATACCGCTACCAACATTCATTTCGCGTTTTGTACAATCCAGTATCCACGGTAAATCACAATCGGTGATGGCCGTTAGGTTTATTTATTTTTTTTTTTTTCAAATTATTTCTGTGATTTTCATCGACACCACGACCCTACATCTACACCCATTGTACGCTGTTTTAGAAAAATAATTTAAAAATTCGTTCCATTATTAATATAATACGCGTATATTGTATAAATGTCTTTCTTCGTCGTGCACTACGCCATTCGTTTTTTTTTTTTTTTTAATTTTATTTTAGGTACTTACAATAAGAATAATATATACACCGAGCGACGAAAAAAGAACAAACCACGCTGTCGGTTATTGCGGACGGTGTACAATAATAGAAATTAAAACGCGCAATTATAGGCGGCGAGTACCTACCTACAAAAAAAAGAAAACCACTCGGCCGGAGGGGCGTGGGGGAACGTCGTTTTTTCGCGATAATTATTTGACGAAAAGTGGTCGCGCGCGTTCAAAAGTGCAGTTAGTACAGGGGTGCAGATGACGGGGCCACCCGGGATTAAATAAGTGGCACGAAAAACGTCGTCAATTTTTACATACCCATGATAAAAAACACATGGACCTGCGTCGTATTTTATTCAGCTGAGGGTACGGTCTTTCGGTCGAGGTTTTTCTTTTGTTTTTTTTTGTTTTTTTTTTTTTTTTTTATGTTCAACAGAGGCGGTGGTTTAGGAGGCGAACAGCAGACTTTTCGATTTAGTATGCACTATATAGTACAGTCAGTGGGTTTATACCTACCTCGCCCGGACCTAAAAGAGACGCGGGTACACGTACGACTTACGTAATACCCGCGACCCCGTTTTAACTGCGTTCTTGAAATATATTTTATACATTCGAACTTTTTTCTTTCCTCCCCCCCCCCCCGCCACCCGAAAACGGTTATTCTAATATACCTGTACGAACCGTTCGCGTATCCGACGAAACCGCGTTAACCGCGAAAAGGTTTTCATTTTCCCGGGCGTGTCGCCGTTACTTTCGCGTAATAATAATATTATTACCTGTAAGGCTATAAACAAGGTTCGGATTTGAAGGCAATATAATCAAGAAAAATAGCGTGTTTCACAAATATCGTGGTAAAAGGCGAAATAAAAAAGCATTTTATTTCTATAAAAAACAATTACGAAATTTGCTAAAAACTTAAATAGATTTCAGTTGATTTAACTATAGTAACTATTAAATTATTTAACTACAGTCGGTATATTAAAAAAAGACGGACATACCTCGCACATGGGTGCAGCCACTGTTGTTGATGAGAAGTTGGGAAAGTAAGATATCGAGGGGAAATTTATTTGTATCTGATATAAGCAACGATTAACCATTGCATATTAAAAGCGATTCTGAGCTGAGTTTAGTTGTCCGTGATGCTTTGTCAATGAAAATTAATATGTAACATGATGGCAAATTAATTAAATAGGCATTATATATTTTCTTTAATAATATTCGTTTAATATTGTACCCAAGTTTTTCCAGTTTTTTTCTCACTTTTTCCCTTTTATTGCTAAAACTGCTAGGAAAATTAAAAAAATTAACGTTCCTAAAGTAACATCCTCAAGAAAATTTCCTATCAGAAAAGAGTCTACGTCGTATATATCGGGATAGAAAAAGTGTTTACATAAAAAAAAAAAAATCTTTGTGAAACCAATACATTACTGGCTACACTGAGAATCTAAAAAAAATTCACTACCGTGTACTTATAGATAAATTGTCCTCGGTAAAACGTCGACTGTTCGGGCTCGAAATATTTTTGTAAAGGATTTAGCGTTATCGATAACTATCGTCGATAATAAAACCCATTAAAAACAATTTCAAACATAACATCGATAATGCACCGCGTTTCCACAAGCTCTTATCGATTTGTGTACCGTTAATACGCGCGTCGTCATGTCAATACACGACAGTGTCGTGTACAAAACTACCAGACCAATTGAAAACTAACCGTAAAAAGGACATGTATAAAAGGCAACAAAAAAAAAAAAAAAAATCATCGTCTTCGATATTAAATGAACATTTTTTTGTTTCTATTATTATATTATAAAAAAAATGCTTTTGCCTTCAAATCCGAACCCTATCTACCAATTAAACGGGAACGATCGCAAACGAGAAACATACGTATTATAGGTACCAGCTATAATAGACATCGCGTCGCGTCTTCACGCTTAAAATATTGTACCGCGTTTTTTTTTTTTTTTTTTTTTTTTTNTTGGGTTAAAAAAAAAAAAAAAAAAAAAAAAAAGTTATGTGAAATCTAATATCGAAACTCATAAATTTCGGCCGATTTCCGAGAAAAAAAAAACTCGACGCGTTGGTTATAAATTGGCTGTTATTTTTTTTCTTTATAGAATCCGGCTTTCAAATTACCGATTCCCACATTAGAGTCGGGCGGAGTTGACGATTTCACTCTCTCTTCACGGTTTTTATTTGTTACACGTCCTTTCCACGGGAAATCCCTGGGCACGCCACCGGTAACGTCAACAAACCTATACAGAGTGATTTGACGTGAGTGTGAACGTTAAAACGAATATAAAAGCGCGAATGCGAACGTAAACGGGCGGAAAACGTTTAGGAAAATCGGCCCGGTTTCGCGTCCGCGTTGAAAAATCGAAAAAACGACGTCCGTGTTTTAGCGGGTCCGGCGCCCGGTCGTAAAAAATCCGTAATATACCTGTGGCTCGGAGCCGTGGTGACGCCAGCGTAACGGTATACGGCAGTAATGGCGTGTTAAGTGCAATGCAAATTTTCATCGGTAATTTCCATGTAAAACGTAACAACCGTATGGACGGTGTTGTACGTTTCACAAATCTATTCCGTTGACAATTGCGTTTATCAGTGCGTGAGGGGGAGGGGGAGGAGGTGAATTAAGTTCCGCTACGACCCGGAGTCAATATACATCCGCCTTTAACGTTAAACCGATTTGCATGACTTTAAAAAAATAAATAAATAAATAACTGCTTTTGACGTGCACTGTATCAAATACGTATACGAACAAACTGACATATTTCGTACGACGGGTGAGCCACCGTTGTGGGCGAGAAATCGAGAAATATAAAAGGGAAATTTAATATGTTTTATACCTGCACGCAAAGATTGATCATTATTGCTTATGCGAAAAACGATTCTGACCGGAGCTCGCCCATACGTGTTTTGAAAGGTCGTAATATTGACGATTTGAAAATAATATATAATTCATGAATTATTTTCCGGTTCCCTTGTACGTTTTTTTCCAGTTTCTCCCGTTTATTAAGGAAACCCCTGGAGAAATAAAAGAATCACCTCTCTAAAGTATCTTCCCAATCAGATTTACTACCATAGAAAAATTTCAACCAATCGGTTGTTACGTCCGTTGGTCGTACGATGTTATCGTTGAAATCGTTGGACGTAAGTCCAAAGAAATCGTGAAATATATGTCAAACGAATACAATCAAATGACGTTTACACCGAAAAACATGAATTTTGTACTTTTTTTTTCTTTTAAATCCGGGGACTGGAGAAATGTTTCTATGCGTCTCCGACTCCCTCGGTATTTCGGTTGTAACGGTCGTAGGAAATCCAAACAGATTCTGAAAATTATCATCAGTCAAATTTCGAACTGAATAGTAGCAGTACTCATAATATTATAAAAAACAATATTAAAAATGAGAGGGAGGGTAATGTAATTTAATGTAACATGTAAAAAGTCGAGAAAGCTACACGATTTAAGATTTCCGAGGTTCGTGCGTAGTAAACTATATAATGTATTATTTTTACCATAAGATGCGCACGTGTTTATTTTCCTTGGACCACACTCTTTTGATTAATAAAAATGTTCCGATTGGTATTTATACTTTAAAACGATACGGATTTATTGTCCGAAGACGGCATTTTGTTTGAAACATTTTTTTTATAGAGTCCCAATTAATAAATTTTTCTATAGAATTAAAAATAATTGACAATAAAAATGATGACGATACATAGGTTTTATTTTGATTGTCCCTCGAGGAAAATAAACGCATCTAATACTACAAGTCTACATAGACTTTACCAGTTACCCGGTTTCTCAGCCCTTAAGAATCGTTTTTTTTTTTTTTTCATTGCAATACTTTATCGTCACTTTAAGTATATGAATCAAATTACTCTATTTTAATAAAATTCCTAACTTTGTATCTATAAAAACAGTGGGAAAGTATTCTTTTTTTTTTCCGTCAACTTTTTTTTATTAGTTTACAATATTCTGACTTTTCCATTTTTTTCCCTCCCCAACTATAAAAAAGTAGACAAAAAACGTATTACTCATCACTTAATAGTTTAACAAATACATTTTTATTGCCGTATCCGCATCATCATAATATTATATTATTGCGATCCATACCAATATGCCGATAAAAAAATTACGAAATATAATATAATATGCTTTAAAAGGCCATTCACGAATAGCGAATACCGTCTCGAACGGTCTGCCGGTTTACCCCTCCTCTTCCTCGCCCGCCCGTCCGCCCCACCGCAACTCCCGTTCGGCGGTACGGGCGGAACACGATAGTCCGCGGCCATTGGTCGGTCGGCCGCGCCACTGTCGGGACCGGTTTCGCGGCGCGGCGGCCAACGGTTCGCGTGTGGATAACAAAAGAAACGGATAGGCCACTCCCGTAACGGTAATTGCGCGAGCGTGGCGATGCCCCCGGAGCGGCGGACAACCGAGGCGATTTACAATTCGTCGCAACAATATTAAACAGATGAGACGCCCACGCTTTACGAAACACTCGGAATAACCGTACCCGTCCCTCTTGGGAAACCGCCGATGAGGTAAATATGAATGGCCCGTCTATCCCGTATATCTTTGTTATCTGTGACGGGTCGGCGGTCGGTATTAATTTCGCGATTTCGCACGTTCCGCCGCCGCGAGAACGGACATCTTATTATTATAATAACCGATCGGGGATGGGTGGAAAAAAAATAGCGTGTTGACATATCGGTCCGACGACAAATCGTTTCGGTTAGGTTGTTAGGGCTGTTCATAATAAAATAAACCAAATAAACCAAATAAATTGTAAAACCAAATATTTAAAAACACGAAAACCAAAACATTCAATCGGTTAGGTTAAGGCATGATAGGTAAAATGCAAAAACCCGATTCGATAACGTTTTTGTACATATGGTGTTTTAAACGAATTATCGTAATTCCAACGGCGGCGCGCGGTGCTTCTCCGCCCGGAAAAGTTTCCCGAGAGATCGGGAAAAGAAAGGAAAACTTTCCAAAACAACAATCATCATGGAACACGGACAGTGTCGTCGTCGCGGCGCGGCGCGGTTCCGTTCGACGTCGGATGCGTAGTCCGGCAACCCCTCGACTCTGGATACCGGCCCCGAAGCGCAGGACCGCCCGGCGTTTCCCCGTGAAGTTTCCGCCCGGCACCGGCGGCAGTTGCTCGACGAGCAGTTTGGACGGGCGGCAATTTAAGTGACGGTGCACGTCACGCATAGTCGTAATAATACGTTGTACTCTTAAAAGCGGACTATCTCGACGGGTCGCTGACGAAAATCAAAAAACTCCGACGTTGAAACGCACTCGAACCAATATAGCAATCCGTTTTTATTTTTTTTTTTATCTATATAATTTATATTTCAATGCTGTAGGCGGCCGTTTGAATACAAAAAAAAAAACGCGTAGACAGTCGTTTCGCCCCCCGAAAATATTAGTTCGCAATAATGAATATAATAACGGAAATGTACATAACTTTCTAGAACCGTTCGGTTTTCAAACCGCCCGTTTTGTAATAATAATATAGTTTCTAACGATGAAAAAAAATCGCCCTGTGTATTATACATTTCACTATCGAACATTAAATATAATATGGGTTACCGTACGATTTATATAATTCATTAGAATCGAGTGTGACGTTTAACATTCAACCGTTATACGCCCTCTTATATTTTATGCGTCCAAACATTTTTAATTCTGAATTCAATATTAGATAACATTGACCGATTCATACATGATTTTAGATTGATTTAAAACCGCAATGTAGTTTTATTGTGATTTTGAACGTTCCGATTATTAGGAATCCGTTATATCGGTTTAATAATTCAATTTGAAGAGTTTCGGTGGAAGGACTGCAGACGAATGACGATTACACCAGACATTAAACGAATAAATTAATTTAAGAAAAAAATAAAAAAATAATCGATATCTCAATAATCGTTAGTCATTTTATGAATTTCTGTTTAATAATCGAAAGTAAATACTTTAAGAGTATTAAGAGTGCTCGTGGCATTTTACAAATTGTCAACATTAACACTATATTAACGTTATAAGTATTTAACATTTTT